TCCCCCCCCCCCCCCCCCCCCCCCCCTAAAGACCGTGACAGAGAAATCTAATACCTATCACAGGCCGTGACAGAGAAACCTAGTACGCATCACAGACCGTGACAGAGGGGCTCCAAAGACCATCACAGACCGTGACAGAGAAATCCAGTACCCGTCATAGACCGTAATCGAGGGGCTCTAAAGACCATCACAGACCGTGACAGAGAAAATCCAAATTCCTTTATTCATAATATAAAAAGCTCCATCGTGTTTCACATTTTTAATCCCGCAGGGATTGCGCTAATAGCTTTTTTATTGATCATGATTCTATACTATTCAATAAAACATTTTGGAATAGCAAATTAGGAAAATTCTTTGTTTATGAATTGAATCAAACTGCAAAAGTATGCTCGAATAGCTTTTTACACACATATGTTTTCTTTATTTTGTACAGCCAATAGTCACAATCAATAAACGTTTTTTAAATATTTATTCGACACTAGTTTTCTCTATGGTAAATACAAAGAATATATTTATGCTTTATCTGAAGAAAGTAGTATCAACCTAATGAATTTTCTACTGTCAATAAGTATCTGATCATTATTGTTTATGTTCAACTAAATTTAACTGAACAATACGCAAAAGATACGAAATATTCATATCCAACACAAAAACTTTATGATGCTTTTAGAATGATTCGAACATGAAGTGCAAGTGAGAAAAAAAACCAAACTATATTAAATCATCATTTCCTGAAAATATGACTAAATCAACTTTGTCTCAACTTTTCACTGGGGATGGGCTATGTTTGAAAGAAATGATATTCATCAAGTAAGTGGTAAATATGTTATTAATGAAGGAGAAGATTTTTTTAATGATTACACAATATGACAAATACCAGAGATCATGATGAATAAAGAATTTTTAGCAAGTTGAAACAAAAATTTATTTTGAATAATATCTTTTATTTTTCTCTTTCTCAAACCAATAAAAAGCACACTTAGCTACGTGTATGAGCCATATTGAGCAATACAAAATAAACCTTACAAACACTGAAATAAAAATGACAGGTAAATATTGCTCAATAACCAAAAACAAAATGTTTCTCTCCGTCCGGAATCGAACCGAGACCGTCTAATATCTGCTCTTGAGCTTCATTAAAGACTTTTACAGTCAAACATGCTTTATTCATTACATTATGAAGAGATACTTTCTTCTTTATCCAAAAACAATAATAATCAGATAATAATTAAATAATCAAGAACTACGGGTTTTGTTTTCATCAAAAATTCATCCGATGGATAAGCAGCTACTGAGATACACTAACTGCAGAAAGTATCCGTATACTTGTTAATCATAACGATTTATTTTTCGACAAAATTGATCTTTTTCAAAGCATCAAGAGTGTAGGTTTGGGTGAAGAAATGATTCACACCCGAACCCATACCCTCATACAATATATATTCGGACTCTGCAAACAATTATATCACTCTTCCAACACGATTACAACCACGTAAAGTTACCCTTTGTACTCTCTCAAGATTGAGATCTTTGAGTTTGGCATCCAAGTACACAACAACGCCAAATATTACAAACTTTATATGATGTCGAACTAACCTTGAAGAATTAAAATTGCCATAATTTTATAACAAACGATTTTTCTTTTACTTTCCAATTTTTCCATCAGTTTTTTCTTTATCTTTTGCCTAGATATTCATTCTTTCTAGAGTGTAGATGTAGGTGTGGGTATGAGTGGATGTTGGTGTTAGTAAGGTGAATTTCATACCCATACCCTCAGTCGATTAGTTGACAGTTTCTTATTTCTACCTAATAGTATGAGTAGCATTGATAGTAATCGTCATTCAATAGCATTACATAGAAAATTCTTTATTTTTGTTGACTTCATAGCATAAAAAAATAAATATCCGTCTTTGTTCGATGCTAGCAACAAATGATTATTATTGGTTCAACAACTGTCTTTTTCTATTCAGAAATTTAATGTTAATCGTTCAAGTAGTTTTCTTAATTAACATTACTAAATATGATCAAATTCAAATATAACTTTCAAGCTTTTTTTTTCTTTGACATTATTTTGATATAAATGTATTTTCTTAAGAAAAAAATCGATCGTTATCAATAAAAGAGATTTATATTCGAATAGAATCTTTTCACATTTCATTTCTCTTATTTATTCATCAAAACATTAATCAATGAGAAATCATATATAGTCTTTATTTAACAGAAATAATATCTAAAAGGACTACAAGGTTTGCTTGCTAAAATATCAACAAAAAGAGACTTCAGTCAATTGGGTATATTTGATAAGAATTTTCAATGCTGTTGACTGCTGCCACCAGAACCACCCGAACTTTCACTAAAAACAGATGATCCAGCACCACCTGAACCGCTAGCTAAACTAGATGATCCCATACCACCTAAACTTTCGGTACCACCAATTCCTGAAACAAATTGAAGAATATATATTATAAAGAATTGTTTATGGTTTTCTATGAAAAGTGTTTTTCATTTGTATTGTTCAAATAAAAAATGATTTTTCTCTTTGATCAAATTAATGGAAAAAAAAACTAAAGAATTTGTTTATCGAGAATTTCTATAGGAAAATAAATCATAATCAGTTGAGTTTTATCAAATTTAAATTAAAATAAATAAAATTTTTCCTTAAAAAACCTTTTAGGATATTTTCATTGAAAATAATATTTGAAATAGAATGAAATGAATTTTATCATATAAAATTCATGTTTTCTCGCTGTTTATTTGAATTTATTTTGAAATTAGCTGATAAATAAAATTATCTGGATAAATATTTTCTTATTATTTTGGTTTTATTTTCAATTGAATCATTCCAATGAAAGTTAAATATTCTAATTATCTGATCCACCTTGTCTACCTGAACTTGACTTTCCACCACCACTTGATCCTCCCGAACCACCAGTTCCTCCGTGGGATGAGGAATCTGATTGTGTATCATGACCAGACCTTGGTTGATTATCAGATGAAGACATTTGAAACGTTTTATTCAAAGTAGAGAATAAATACGCGTTCTTTCAGAATGAATATTCTATGTATATGAACTAGTGTAACCCATTGGCCTTATATACTTCCTACTTACGACACGAGACTCTTAACGTGATCACTATAGTGAAATGTTCTTTTTATCGCTAGTAGTACGAACGTTTGACAAGATAGACGAAGAATATATAATGACGAAATTTTCCTCGTGACAGATCTGTTTCCTTTGAATAAGAGAGGTTATTACGTCCGATTTATTTTTATTCTAAAACTAATAAAGGTCAATGAGTGCAGATTGTTTTCGTTCTCTCTTTTAGCTTGTATGATTGGATAAATGATCTGTACTTCGATCAACTGATCGATCATCTGGAGACATTATTTTAATTGAAAGAATTCTTTCAAATTTCGAGAAATAGATTTGATTGAGAAAGATATATTTAACTATTGTTTTACTCTTTTTCGATAATAAAATCATTGAATATTCATTAGGTAAAATGATGAAAAAAATTATTGAAATTCTTTAAAAAGAAAAATAATTGTCGATGATTTAATGATAACTGTTTCTCGTTTAATTCGAACTATTCTTTATCATAAAAATAACAAGTAAACAGTTAACAAGACTTTACAAAATAAAAAAAAAAAATTATTTTATTTCAGTAGTCGACCTTGATAATCTTGATCAAATTTTAAAACAATTTATCTTTCCTGGATCAAATATATTTCTAAAGGTAATAAATTTTGTGTAACTAAGAAATAAAACTTTGACTAATATATTAAAACATTTGATTATATAAGTTTTGCTTGAATAAAGAAAAAACAAACAAAGAAATCGGCAATGTAAATATGTCTTTGGTTCTATCTAACTTATTTGGGACTACTCTTGTTTTTTTGTGTTTGTGTATTTGGAATAGCACCGCTGTATGAGTCAATCTGTTGGGCACCAGGAGTATTGTGAGTTGAGCTGGTGTCATAAGTACCTATTGGAGTCGATCCTTCTTTTCCTTTGCCACTATCAAAAGCTCCTGTAGAACCACCTGTAGTTCCACTGGTACTTGATTGACTAGCACCAGGTTCAGAAAGATTGTTCAATGATGAGTCGTTATTACGATGTTGTGTGGACATTTTACGTTATAATAGAAGAATAAGAAAGTGAATACAATGACTCCTTTACTGGATTACGCTTAGACGAGAAAATAGAAAGAAAAGAAAAAAAAACAGAAAGAAAAGAAAAAAAACAGAAAGAAAAGAAAAAAAACGTTTTTTTCTTTATTACATTCATATTATGTAGTACACAATATACGCAGTAAGACTGACAAAATAAATAACGATGAAAATAAGTTTAAAATAAAAAATAACTTTTTATCGAGTCATCTATTTCAAATAATCATATATGAAATAAATGAATAAAAAAAATATCTTCTAATGAAAAATCTAATTAACATATTGATTTGCAAGCTAATCTTTTATCATGTCATGAAAACAGAGACCTATTTATTTTCTCTTCGACAATCATGTTATATTCTAAAAATGTCTATTCCTACATCTTACAAAAAATTGTTCAGATTCATTATGAAAAAAAAAACATTTTTCTACTCCTTCTATAGTAAAAAGTTTGAAAGAATTTTTTTTCTGAAATTTTCACATTTTTTTTTCTTAAAAATTAGATATAAGATAAATAATGTCTTTTATTACCGAACTAACACATAAAAACTCCAATGTGATACTTATCTTAATAAGATATACAGGGTCGGAAAGAATATTATTCAAGGGGGGTAACGATATAAT